CACCCCAACAACTCTCACTCTTGAGACACCGCAACATGGGCCTTCTGATGTTATCCCGGGCCCCTCACACGGATGTGGCACTATGCTTGGGCCCCGAAAGTGTCTCATCTGCAGAAACTCAGGTTGTCTTCTACTGGGTGTCAAGTCTCCTGTCGCATGAGGGCCCCATAGGCAGCTCGAGCGAACACTGCCGCCAGCGCTGTGCGTGGGAGAAAGCCCTCGCCGCGTCTGGGACTTGGGGCATTAATCCTACCAATGAAGAACTGATTCATGAAGACGTATGCTTGTCTTTTAGGGTTCTGGGTATGAGCTAAGCTCATGAGCACACATGAGCTTGGGTGCGCAGGATTCGCAATCTGAAGCGTTGTTGCAGCGTCTTCTTCGGGACTGATTAGATGTGAGGTAAATAGCTTCACTGCTGCTGATCTCAGATGAATGACAACATGCTCAATTTCAAAGTTGTTGGCATTCGACAAGACTAGCGGCTAGCGTATCCCTTGAAGATGCTTGGAGTTGACACCGGCTGCCACTTTGAGAATAAAGCCCGCCCCTGAGGATGATGACATTGATGTGCAAGGTCACAGGGACCTCCTTTTTGTATCCCATTCCCATGCCAACTACTAGATTGACTGCTGCGGCTAGCATACCATAAGAACAATACCAAACATGCTCTGAGCAGCAATTGCGCTCTGACACCCTGTGCCCCAAACACGATACTGCGCAGTCAATAGTCTACTGATCATGGCCGGTGCGCTGCACTCTGTACAATGATCAGCCCATTAATTAGCGTGGTCATCCCATTCCTTACTTATGCTTGCAGGAGCAATGCTTCTCATGTGGAGCTTTGCCTCGTCCGCAATGTTCTCAAGGTGTCCAACCACCTATGAGAAGGAATGCTCTACGGTTTCTTTTTTTCTGGCCCGAGGTTGGCCATCTGGGGGCTGCAGGCTTGTCCGAGGTCCAGGATTTGGAGGCTGGGGCCTCTGGATTTCGCCTCTTCATCCCGCTCGCACCGGTGAGTGAGCTAAAAAATCTTGTGGGAAAGCCTGAGCCCCACGGTCGGCACTAAGGATTCTGCATGACCCAAAGCAGCTCGTACCTTGGAAATTATGGCATTGTAGTATACTGAGGTCATGCAGGAATTTTAACATCAACGGGAGTGCTATGCCCAACTCCTAGAAGCCAGAATTTTGAACCCGGACGCAACATGTTTACCAAGACGCCCCAACGCATACTTCAAAAAGTCTCTTGCACTGAGGCAAATAGCACACCTCCTCCTGGCCCCAAACCCCAAACCTGAACCCCACCAACTCTAAACCTAGCCTTCAGAGCTTCTTCGCATCTTCGCCCTAAGGCCTGAGGGATTGGCACCTCCTGCACAACAAAAAGGGTCTTTGCTTTCACAAGTTGGATTTAGGGAGTGGTGGTGATGGTTATGACGCTGGTGCTCATGGCTGCTTTGGGGACCTTTGGGTTTCGTTGCACAAAAATTCGGAGGACAAGCATGGGCTGCCGCAGAAGGGGATATCGGGGTTTGGCTCAGCTATGGTTGACATCGTGACCCCAGTAAGCATCAACTGATTAACGAAAGCTAGAAGCGTGATATCAATCCCCGGGTGAATGGTTCGAACATGCGCCCTGAAACAAAAAAAATCTAAGGACTTTAGGAGGGACCCCTAATAGGGACCCTTGTAGCTTATGGGGGTTAATATGGGGAGTACCTAG